CTCGAGAACTGCGACCACGCGCCGCAGAATGAGCGTGCGCGGGGGAAGGAGGCCGCCCAGAAGCTGCGGAGACAGGCCAGGGGCATCAAGGACAAGGCTGCGAACGAGATGATCGAGAATGGCATCCCTGAGTCCATTGCGAAGGCTGTTTCCAGGATAGTTGTCGATGACGGTTCTTCGTCGTGCTCCTCGATTGGCGATGCGGGTGAGCGCGGCGCTTCGCTCAACTCGGGGGCCCTGGCAACCGCTGGCTTCGGCGACAGCGAGAAGCCGGGCGAGCCCAAGCGCGCGGCGCAGTTGGTTGTCCGAGCAGCTGGAGGCCCTCAGAGTCAGGTGTTACCAACATCGACTACATCAAGAAGATGAAGAGCACGGCCAGATACGGCCCCATGAAAACCGAGTTCACGTTGAAGCGCGCCGCTGACTCGGACAAGACCAGCGAGCATATGACTTTGCTAGCGTTCTTCCAGAAGGCTTTCTCCGTGGCTTCTCCGTGGCTTTCCCTCCCGCGGCGTGTCCTCGGGCTGGCGGTGCGCGCTGCGTCGCAGTCTCGCGCGGCGTCGCGGTCGCGGCCGCCCTTTCCGCGCCGGGCGCCCAGGCCCGCGGCGGGAACGATGCGAGGGTTTTCCCGGCGTCGACGGAGGCCCTCGGCATCGCGGCGAAGGCGCCGAAGTTAATTTCGAATGCCGGCCAGTCCTTGTGCCACTCCTTCGGCGCGTAGCTGGTTGGGTTCGGCGTGGCCGAAAGGGGTGCCTCCACGAAGGACTTCGCCGTCTATGAGGGTGCCGATGAGACTCCCGAAGTGTGGCTGCGCTACGTCGCGCGGCCCATCATCGACTGTGAGAACGACCCGTCCGCGCCTGAGGCCGTCTGCGCAGCTGTGGCTGGCCTGATGGAGCGATCTGTTTCGTGCCCCGCGAAGACCGCGGAGCCGCTGCATGCCCCCTTGCGCGAGTGGCGCGAGAAGCTCGCGGCGGCCCGCGGCGCCGCCGGCGCCAGCGATGGCGAGAGGCGCCATGTGAACATTGACAAGCGCAGCTGCAGTTCGGCGCGGTCGCCGCGCGATCGCCGGTCGGCAGGGCCCGGCGCGCCCCTCCCCGTTTGCCCCAGGGCGATGGGAGAGGTGGAGGGGTCTGGGAGGGGGGGGAGGGGTCTGGGAGGGGGGGGGGGGGGGGGGGGAGGTGCCGGGGGGAAATGGAGACGGCGGCGCATCGGCTCAAGTGAGAGGGATTGGAGAGTCAGGGTTGCCATGGGGAGGTGGCGGGGGTCGCAGGTTCCCCCGCTTTTCTTCTTCTTCTTCTGCTTCTTCGTGGCTCCCTTCGTCTGACGGGAGGCGGGCGGAGCCTGACGGACGCTAACAGGTCGAGCCGTGGCGAGGCGTCCTGGCTCGCCTGTAGCCCTACCAGACAAGGTTCTAAGGACCTCTTGTGGTTCCCACGAGATGGTTTTCGAACATTTCTGGTTTGGGCCGTCTTCTTTTATCACATCAGGACATTGTTTGTGTTCTGAGAACATTTTTTGGGTTCTAGGAACATGTCGTGGTAGGACTATTAGGAATGCCGGGGCTGTCGGTCCCTGCTCAGAACAGGGGGCTGCCCCGCTGACGGAAGGTTGGCGGAATCTGGCGGCGCGCAGCCTTCCAAGATATACATGTTGCTGAGAGGCTCCAGGGTTTTTGGGGTGGGCCACATGGTCTAGTATAGAACTGTTGTAGCGATTACGAAACATCGCTAGCCTTCATGCTCGTGTTCGCAGTAGCAACGCAGCACTACATGAGCCATCGCAGACCATGGCAGCAATTAGCCACACAACATCCTCAACAACGCGATGCCGTGATACAGCAACGTGCACATCAAGCGCGCAATGCTTAACAAACGCACGCGATCAGGATACAGAGGCATCAGACCACAGATACTAAAGTGACTCGACAGGATATAACAGTCGTCGTCATTCTCCCTTTTCCTCTTTCTCCCTATGTGTAGCCAATTTGTGGCTCAAACGCCCAATCTGGCACGAGGAACAAAAATCACGCCGCGGGAGGGACCAGCGAGCAGGCATGGGCAAGTTCATCAAGGCGGGCCGCGTTGTTGTTCTCCTGCAGGGCCGCTACACGGGCAAGAAGGCCATCGTTGTGAAGGCGTTTGATGACGGGTCCAAGGCGCGCCCCTTCGGTCACTGCCTCGTCGCGGGCGTGGACAAAGCCCCCCTGAAGGTTACGAAGACCATGGGCAAGAAGAAGATTGCCAAGCGGACTCGCGTGAAGCCTTTCGTGAAGTACGTGAACTACAACCACATCATGCCCACTCGCTACCAGGTGCCGGCGGAGGTCGGTGTGCAGTCTTGGGTGACGGACCAGCAGATGGACAACAGCGACGGCCGCGTTGAGGCGAAGAAGTCTATCCAGTTGCCGGCGGCAGCTCCCGCCACTATGCTTGTGCAGCAGTGCAGTAGGAAGGATACGGAGTGTAGGAACAACGCAATTCCGACGCTTGTTCTGAACAAGGAAGGGCGTGACCTCGACCTCGTCTTCGTCCTCGCGGTATGAAGGAATATGAGGAGGAGGAGGAAGATGAGGAGGAGGAGGAAGATGAGGAGGAGGAGGAGGAGGAGGAGGAGGAGGAGGAGGAGGAGGAGGAGAACATAGAAACTATGATGACGATGGGAAGGAAGACTCAGTGGCCCCTTTTTGGGGGGCCTCCTGAATGCGTCCTGTAAGCTTGTGGGGGGCCCGCTGAGGGCCTCCTGGGGCCTCTCAGGGGCTTCTTAGGGCCTCCTGGGCCGTCTCAGGGAGCTCTGGGCTCCGTTGGCGTTCTCGGAGGCCGTCTTGGAGGCCTGTTCTGGCCGTCGTGGTGGCTTGGAGCGCTTCAGGGCCGCCTTGGGGCCCGCTTAGGGGGCCTCTTGGGCGATCTTGGGGTCCTCTTGCGCCGATCTGGGGCCCCCTTGGGTGCCTCGCGGGCTGTCCTGGAACTATCTTGGATGCGTTCTGGGCAGCCTTGGGCGATCGGGGGACCAAGCAGACTGGAACCTCAAAATCCCACAACCCAATGGACATCAGTGATGTTTGCCTCCTCGGGCTCTCCTGCAGGGCATCTTACAGCACTCTTGGATGCCTCCTGGGGCCTGTTGGGGCTTCTTGGGCCATTTTTGGTGGCTGTTGGCCGTCTGACGTCTTCGGATGCCATCTTCAGGGCCTCTCTGGGCCGTCTTGGTGCACTGGGAGCGCTCGGGCAGAACTTCAAAATCCCACAAACACAATGAAATTTGTTGATTTTTGCATCCTCGGGCTCTCCTAGGGGGCCCCTGAAAGCACTCTTGGATGTCTCCACCTCTTGGGGCTTCTGGGACCATCTTTAGTGGCTCTTGGCCCGTCTGACGCCTTCGGAGGCCGTCTTGAGGGCCTCTCTGGGCCGTCTTTGTGCGCTCTTGGAGCGCTTTGGGGCCGTCTTGGGCCCCTCTTGGGCGATGTTGAGGCGCTTTTGTGCCGATTTGGGGTCCTCTTGGGAGCCTCGCGGGCCGTTTTGGAGCTATCTTGGATGCATTTCGGGCAGTCTTGGGCGATCGGAGGACCAAACAGGTGAGAACCTCAACGTCTTTCAAATACCAAATTCGAATCTATGATGTTTGCCTCAGTCTCTCCTGGAGAGCCTCTTGGAGCCCTCTTGGGCCGTCTTGGGAGCCTCTTGGGCTGTTTTGATGCCGTCTTGAGAGTCTCTCCGGCCGCCTTGGGCCATCTTGAGCCATTTTGGTGTCGTCTTGGCTGTCTCGGACGTCGTCTTGGAGGCCATCTTGGCCGTCTGGAGGCCGAAAAGAGCGCCGGGGAGCGATTTCAGGAGGGGCGGCCAACGCGTGCGCGTGTAAAGCGGGGAGGGGATCGGCCCTAGAAAACACAGGGACCACAGGAGCATTCTAACACGCCGATTCCGTGCAGGCACGGTGGCGGATCAAGAGTGCATTCCAGGAGAAGTTCGCGAACCCCCCGGCGGACAAGGCGGGCAAGCCCTCCAAGGACGTCCTGTACCTTCGGAAGAAGCTTCGCTTCTGAGGAGGGCCCGGCGATATGTGGTCGTCATGCCTGCGCAGCAGCAAAAGCATCCCCTCTTTTCTGTCTTCTCGGGAACCGACGTCCTTGGAAACCAGCGGGCGGTGGATGTGGATATATTTTGGTCCCTGGGGGCCAAACCATATCCATATCCACCGCCTGTGGAAGCCTGCGAACATCGATCCTCCAGGCGGTGGTTATGCATGAGTCCCCGCATCGAATCGTCGGAGGACTGCAACTATACGCGATGTACATCATACGCCGATCATAACCAGGCCCAAGATGGGAGGGTTTACAGTCGGGGCCCTGAAGAAGGAACCCTTTTCGTTAGGGAGGGGCTCTGTGTTCCTTAATTGTTCCACAATGTGCCTCACGTTTCCCTGAGGTTTTCGATGGGAAGTCGAAGTTCAACTTATGGACAAAAGGGGCCTCGTTCCTTATTTAGGGTTCCTTAGGTCAACGCCCCGACTGTATGTCTTCTGGCCAAGGCAGGCATGACGGGCCTGGCCGAAATCGGCGTACGCAGTAAGCCCGAATTTGCGGACTTCGGAAACAACATGCCTGCGCTACTTCCGGTCCATTCTTCCATCATCTGCGTCTTCCTGGCGCTTTCCCCGATATATTGACGCCTCCAGCGCTGGGAGGCGCCAGGAAAACCAGCTACGTGAGCTGATTCGCTACCCTCCCTTTGCGATCCCCGTTCGTCCGACCCGATGGATGATCCTTGAGACGTGTTTTAGCCCAGTGTATGTGTGTGTGTGTGTGTGTGTGTGTGTTACCCGTTCAGCTCCACCGACAGCATGCAGTCTGCGTCGGCCCTCATTCGGCCGCCTGCCTCGTATTGAAGAGCTTCGGTTGACTGGCATACGTCGGCCCTAGCACTTGTTCTAAGGATGAATCGAGCCGACTACCTCGTACTCGTTGTCCTCCTCTGCGTCTTTCTGCAGCTGCCCACGCCCAGGCCGTTCTGCTCGGCACCGCGGAGCCGGACTGCTCGGCGCTGCTCGCGGTTACATGCAACAACCTCGGCTGCTACTACAAGAAGGCCCTCCCGTGCCGCCCTCCTCGTTGCTGTCGCCATCGCAGAAGGCACCTCTACCAGGGGAGCGAAGAACGACATGAACATAGAAACTCGGAGGTCCGCGCGGTTTTCTCGGATCGGCGCTGGACCCCCCTTCCTTTGCGCGCGGAGCGCGCCAGGGGCGGCGCGGGAGGCGCCGCCAGGGGGGTCCAGCGTGGATCCGAGAAATCCGCGCGGGCCTCCGAGTTTTCATGTTTATGTCATTCTTCGTTCCCCTATCTACACCCCCACCCTCTCGTCCTGAAAATGTCGCGACCGTCTGTCTTTGGTAGTTTTCGGTTTCCGGGGGCCCTCACGGGGCCCCGAGACCGTCAGACAACGATACATGATGAAGAACCGCTCCCAGGGAAGGGGTCCAGACCTTCGCGGGCCCACGTGACAAATTCACGACGCGCCTGAGTTCTGTGCCTGGCCAGGGCTATCCAGGGCCGTGGTGGTGGCGTGTAGATGCCTTCTGCTGATCGCATCTCTTGCGAATCCCGAGCCTGCAAAACTGCAAGCCGCCCCTGGAGAGGGTTCACGCGCTTCCTGCCGAGAGGGGTCTTCTCGTCGTCATCGCCTTCGCTGTGATGCCCGTGCTTGTACGAGGGTGAACCGCCTCCAGAGCGGGCTCGCCGGGAACGCTTGCTACTGAGAGGGGTTTCCTCGGGATGTCGGGGCGGTTCTCCCTGGCACCAGGATGCCCCTGTGATTGTGAAATTCGAGAGACTCTGTGGAGTGATCATGGGCACCCCGTAAGCCCCGCTCGTAGGGTGATCGTAGGCGGAGGCCCGGGCCGCCTGGTCGGAGTTCGGTTGGGCGCCAGCGCGTTCTCGCACGGGTGGGCGCCGCACGTGGTCAGAGCGAGGCCGGAAGTTACCGCCAAGGTTGACTAGAAGGTCGACCCTGCCACGTCACGGGTACCCTTGTGTCCTGCGTTTCGCCACCCACGCCTTCTGCATTCCCATGGCAGCGTGGCCCTCGGAAGGGTCTCGTGTCCCTCCGCGTGCCCCCTCGAATCAGCCTCGACTGTAGGTACAAGCCTGACCGGGCGGCCTGAAAGCGGTACGTTCTGGCTCCTCCTCTTCCTCCTCTTTCGTCGTTTCAAGAGAACCACGATGTCATGGCGCCAACATCGCAGAGCGGATTTCGTTCGGAAAACGATGGGATGGGCCGGGAGTGTCCTGGAGAAGTTCGTTCCGGATTTCGAGGTGAATTTCGTGCAGTTTTTTTTGCCAGGAAAGAAGACTAACACACACACATCCACGCGAAATTCACTTCGTTTTTCGCTCGCCGTTTTGGGGTCTTGCGTCGACAGAAGTCCACGCACAAATCCGCTGCAGCACGTCTGCAAGGTCGGTGCAGTGAACGATGGAAGGTTACTATTTTGCTGTTGCCCCTCTGTGTTTTGGGCCTCGGCTCTTCGCTCGGCCGTGGTCCCTCCGCCGTGTGTCTTCCCGCCTGCTCGTCTTTGTGGCCCTTGCTCGGTCCCAGCTCGCCTCTGCGCCGAGGGCTCGAGAGTGTACAGTGCCGTTTTTAATACATGCTCCGCGTGCGGATCATGTATTAAAAATGCAGGGTTTAGTATTCAAAACATCGATGTGTTCATGCATAGATTTATTCACACATTAGTCATGTATTAAGATTCATATAGTAAAAACAAATCCCATGTATTGAAAACTGCCCTGTAGGGCAAATCAGTATGCCGAAGCCTGCACGGCGGCGATCCTCGGCGTTCTCTGCAGCGGCCGCCGCGGCGCTTGGCATCTGCCCTGCGTGAGGGCGTGGTCGGAGGCCTCAGCGATTCGCTCGGGGACGCAATACTGTGATACTGGCCTTACGTCGGGCGCGTCCCTCTACAGGAGGAATATCCCAAAACAGTCAAAAAATAGTGTGGGGACGACTTTTTGACTATTTTTTGACTGTTTCCGAATATTTTTTGGAGTAGTTTTGAATTTCCGTCCCAAACCCGCTTGTAGGGGGACATGCACGACCTAGTACTAGCCGCAAGGCAGGATGGTGTTAGCCGCATCGGCGTAAACTTTCGGAGGTCCGCGCGTCGGCGCTGGACTTCCGAAAGTGCATGCTCATGGCATGCTTTCTCCTTCTGGAGGAGGGAGGAACAAGAGGGAGGAAGAGGAGGGAGGAAGGGGGAGGAAGAGGGAGGAACAAGAGGGAGGAAGAGGAGGGAGGAAGGGGGAGGAAGAGAGAGAGGAACAAGAGGGAGGAAGAGGATCGGAGGGAGGAAGGGGGAGGAAGAGTGAGGAGCAAGAGGGAGGAAGAGGGAGGGAGGACGGGCAGGGAGGACGAGGTGGAGCCCGCTCGCCCGGCCAAGGTGGGTAAATTTCACGGGGCCCTCAGCTACCTCCGCCGGGCACTGAAGATGGAGGCGGGCACTCGCTGGCCCCCGCGCGCTCCGCCGTCAGACGGGGCTGGGGGGCGGAGGAGCGGGGAAAGGGAGCAGGAGGAGGAGGAGCAGGAGGGGGATGAGGAGGGACTCAGGTGGAGCAAAGGGGTCTGACGGATGATGATGATGATGATGATGATGCTGATGATGATGATGATGATGATGATGATGATGATGCTGCTGATGATGATGATTATGCTGACGATGATGACCATGATGCTGATAATGATTGCGATGCTGATGATGATGCTGATGCTGCTGATGCTGCTGATGATGCTGATGCTGATGCTGATGCTGACGATGATGATGATGATGATGACGATGATGATGATGCTGATGATGATGATGATGATGATGATGATGATGTTGATGATTATGACGATGTCGATGCTGACGATTACCATATAATGCTGATGCTGATGCTGCTGCTGAAGATGATGCTGATGATGATGTGTGTGGTGATTATGATGAAGATTATGATGATGATGATGATGATGATGATGATGATGATGATGATGATGATGAGGATGATGATGATGATGATGATGATGATGATGATTATGGTGGTAGAGTGGTAATGATGATAATGGCGGTGGTGGTGGTCAGGATGATGATAACGAGGATGCTGATGATGATGCCCAGATGATGATGCTGATCATGATGATAATAATGATGACGGTGGTGGTGGTGATGATGCTGATGATGGTAATGATGCTGATGATGATGGTGGTGGTGGGAATGATGATGATCCTGATACTGATAGCGATGGTGCTTGTCATGATGATGATAACGAGGATGGTGATGCTGATGATGCTGACGATGATGCTGATGATGATAGTGATAATGATGGTGGTGATGAGGATGCTGATGATGATAGTGTGAAGAGGATGATGCTGATGATGAGGCCGATGATCGTGATGCTGATGACGATGATGAGGACGCTGAGGACGATGCTGCTGCTGATAATGGTGAGGATGATGACGATCTGATGATGCTGATGATGATGACGATTGTGGTGATAATGATGATGACGATTACGACGGCGCTGCTGCTGCTGCTGCTGCTGATGATGATGATGATGATGATGATGATGATGATGATGGTGGCGATGCTGATGATGATGATGATGATGATGATGCTGACTACGAAGAATACGAAACCATATGATTTCGACGATAGTGCTGATGCTGATTAGTTTGACGACGATGCTGGCGATGGTGGAGATGATGTTGATGAGGATGAGGATGTCGGTGACGATTGCGATTGTGATGATGCTTCATGGTGGAAGTTGTCGTGCGGCAAGGCAGCAAGAACGGACAGCCACTTCATAGTGCGCGAACGATGATGGTGATGATGGTGTTGGTGATGACGATGCTGATGTTGATGATGGCGATTATGCTGATAATGACGACCACGACGAGGAATCTGACCATGACGACACGGAGTATTACGATGATGTTGCTGATGATGATGGTGTTGATGACGATGCTGGTGATGAGGACGATGATGATGCTGATGATGATGCTGATGCTGCTGATGATGGGGTTGACGACGATGACGACGACGAAGGTAATGCTGATAATGATGATGCCGAGGAGGTGGAGGAGGAGAAGGAGGAGGAGGAGGAGGCGGAGGCGGAGGAGGAGGATGCGAAATAGCGTGATGATCATGCTGATGATGCTGACAATGCGGATGCTGTTGATGATGATGATGACGATGATGATGATGATGATGATGATGCTGATGATGATGATGATGATGACGACGGTGATGCTGATGATGATGATGATGATGATGATGATGATGATGATGATGGTGATGATCCAGCTGCCTGCGGCAAGTCCCGCCACCGTGTCAGCCCAGCATTCTGGGTTGCGACTTCTCGAGAGGACACGGGAGGTCGTCTAGTGTGATTCCTCGTATTTCTAAGCTTGGGATGGCCGTAATTTGTGTGTGTGTGTGTTGCTGATTCTGGGGTTGATGGTTGTGATGGCGATACTAATGATGTTGATAATGGTGATGCAGATGATGATGGTGATGATGATGCAGAAGAAGATGCTGATGATGATTATTGTTATGCTGTAACTGATGGCTATGATGCTGAAGACGATTACGGCGACGACGCTGTCAATGACAGTGATGCGGGTGATGATGACGCTGTTGCTGTCGATATCGGTGTTGCTACAGCTGTTGTTGCTGCGGCCGTGGAGGATATTGCTGATGCTGACGATGATGCTGATGATCATGATGATGCTGATGATGATGCTGTTGATGCTGATGATGATGATGCTGATGATGATAATGATGGCTAATCTGATGCTGACGACGTTGATGGTGATGCTGATGATGCTGATGATGGTGATGATGATGTTGACGACGATGGTGATGTTGACGATGATAGTGACGATGCTGATGCTGATTCTGATGATGGTGCTGCTGATGATGATGATTATGATGCTGACGACGACGATGATGATGATGTTGATGATGCTGATGCTGATGATGCTGATGATGATTGTGATCATGATGACGCTGCGGCTGCTGCTGCTGATGATGATGATTCGGAGGATGATTGTGATGATGATGCGGAGGATGATGCTGCTGCTGCTACTGATGATGATGATACTGATGCTGCTGCTGATTCTGATGGTGATTGTGCTAATTCGGATGCTGATGCAGATGATGACGTTTACGACGATACTGATGATGCTGATGATGCCGATGATGATGATAATGATGATGATGATATTGCATATGATTATGATGATGGTGCTGGTGATCATGATGACGATGCTGCTGATGGTGATGATGGCGATGCTGATGATGATGCTGATGATCATGATGGTGCTGATGATGCTGATGATGATGCTGGTGATGCTTGCGATGATGATGGCGATGCCGAGGATGATGCTGCTGATCATGCTGTTGTTGATGTTGCTGGTGATGATGGTGATGCTGCTGCTGATGCTGATGCTGATGCTCATGATGCTGATGCGGATTATGACGGTGCCGGTGATGATGATTGTGCTGGTGATGATGATGCTGCTGCTGCTGATGATGATGATGATGACGACGACGGCGGCGGGGAGGAGGAGGATGAGGAGGAGGAGGATGGTGATGCTGAGGATGATGCTGCTGATGCTGATGATTGTGATGATGCTGATGATGATGATGATGCTGATGCTGATGCTGATGCTGATGCTGATGATGATGCTGATGATGATGATGATGATGCTGATGATGCCGATGATGATGATATTCTGATGATGATGATCATGAGGATGATGATGCTGATGATGCTGATGATGATGATGATGATGATGATGATGATGATGATGATGAGGATTATCATGATACTGATGGAGCTCGTTTGGGTCATTTTGGGGCTGTCTTGGCTTCCTGTGAGGCAGTCCTGGTGGGGGTCCCTTTGGCACCTCTTGAATCGTCTTGGGGTCCCCTTGCGCCAGCTTGGGGCTCTCTTTGGCCGTTGTGATGCCCTCTTGGCCGTACGGTGGGTTTCTGGTGGCCGTTGTGGGGCCGTCTTGGGCAGTTTGACGGCATTCTAAGGCCGTCTCGGGTCCAACGGGAGTCCTTCTTGAGCCGTCTTGGGGCCGTCTTGAATGACCCCGGGGCCATCGTGGAGTCCTCTTGGGCCGTCTTGAGCTGACGGCAGCCCCGAATAGGCGAGAATGCGAACATCATTCAAACACCCAATGGGCATCAAGGAGCTTGGCTCCGTCGAGCCCTGTCGACGGTCCTCGTGTGGCCCTTGTGGGCCCTCTTGGAGGAATCTTGGGCCGTCTTGAATCAACATTTGGCCGCCTTGGGGCCATCTTGGGTCATCTTCCAGGCATCTTGTGCCATTTTGGTGTCCTTGGTTGCCTGCGCGGGCCGTCTTGGAAGTTCGGGGCGCATATCCATCGCTTTGAGGAAAGGATCTTGACTTGGGAGGCCCTGGATTGCTTGCGAGCAGCGCCTGGGAGTGTGGGAGGTGCACGATCCTCGAGCGGGTGCGCGTGGGATGAGGGGTCCAGGAGTTAGCAGCCGTGCGGGAAGTGCACACTCCTCGAGAGGGCGCGCATGGAATGAGGGCTCGGGCAGTAGCTGCCCTGCTGGAAGTGCACCATCCTCGCGCGGGCGCGCGTGGAATGGGGGCTTAGGCATTAGCCCTGCTGGAAGTGCACCATCCTCGAGCGGGCGCTCGGGAAGAGGGAGGTGGCCTCGGAAAGGAGGGGCGATGCATGCAACATTCCGCGAGTAGAAGGGGGGAGGCGGTCCCATCTTAGAAGGCAACAAACCTCACCAGGCAGACCTTGACATTCTTCCACGCCTCAACGTGCCAGGGGGCACGGTGGCGGATTTCGTATGATGACGTTGGTTGTGATCGCGGAAGCGATTGTGATGTTGATGTTGATGACGCTGCTGCTGACGAGGAGGAGGAGGAGGAGGAGGAGGGGGAGAGGTAGGAGGAGGAGGAGGAGGAGGAGGAGGAGTTGGAGGAGGTGGAAGAGGAAAGGAGGAGGGGGAGCTGGAGGACGATGATGATGATACTGATGATGATGATGATGATGATGATGATGATGATGATGATGATGATGATGATGATGAGGAGGAGGAGGAGGAGGAGGAGGAGGAGGAGGAGGAGGAGGAAAGGGAAAAGGGAAAAGGAGGAGAAGGAGGTGGATGAGGAGGAGGAGGAGGAGTAGGAGGCGAGATCACGAAGGCGAGGATTGTGGTTTCTGGGTGCCTCGCGTCAGGTATCCGGTGCATCCGAAGGCAGAGATCACGATAAAACGAGGAGCAGCAGACACAGACATCTTGACGGGGATCGAACGTAATTACCCCGTCCTGAGATGCGTTCCCGTGCCAGAGACGCAATTTGCCAGGATAACCAGTTCCACGGATAACATCGATCGCACCAGCATTGTGTTTGATTGAGTTGGCTTGCCATAGTACCCCCTTTGAATCGCACGGCGGATCTA